TTTTTACTTCTCGATCAAAGTACTTATCTATTGAAAGATTAGACTTATCTACGCAAATGCGTCTTTTCATTTTACTTCCATCAAAACGTGTCCTTTCATCTTAGTTAAAGTTTAAATGGTAATGAAGATGAGTCCTTCTTCACTGTGGTAAATCCGAAACTAAAAGAGATAAAAAAAATATCAGCAGATTCGTCTTTTTTTCCTCATTCTGGCAATATATATAACTCCATTTTGGGAAAAATGTTAGATACGTCCTTTTTACTATCAGGGGCAGCGTTATACATGTAGGTTAAAATGTTCAATTCCGATAAAGCTTAAATAATTGTTACGTAATTTTACCCATCTACTTGTAGCTAGAAATATGTATCATGTGTTTTATTAAATGGTTATATTAATTTATTGAATTCAACGCTGTTCATAATTGTTAACTTTTGTTTCTTTTTAAATATCAATAAAATAATTTAATGCTGGTTAGAGAAATACTAACTGTTTATGCATAAACCTATATATTATATGCTTTGGTAAATGTAAATAACTTTATCTCCGGCGTAATTCAAATCAAATAAATTTTAAACGATTGAGATTAATCTCTAATGAATTAATCAACAAGCAGAATTCGGCGGTCGCTTATAGTTTTCGAGAAAAAAAAATATTTAAAACTTGTTTTTTGTACTAAGAAATCCACCATTTTATTTGTTTGACTTCAAAAACTCAATACACAGTTCTGCCAACATGATAAATATAGGAAGCGGGCGACAACATACACGTATCGATATTCCGATTTTTTTAATTTAATGAATCACAGAACCGACACAGAGCGAATCCGACTCGGATAGATTAGGTTAGAAGGTTCAGGTTAACCTTCGATGTTAGGTTTTTTTTTTATGACCACCAAGAAATACGAGCTGAATTGACATATTGACAACAAAAAAATGGCGGATTTCTATAGTAAAAATCACACTATTTCATTATTTATTTTTTCGAAAACTATAAGCGACCGCCGAATTCTGCTTGTTGATAAATTCTTAAGTGATTTTTCTCTATCGTTTAAAATTTATTTGATTTGAATTACGCCGGAGTTAAAGTTATTTACATTTACCTCTGCTTTTATCAAATGTACAGGCATATTAAAGCAATTGATTCTTATGATTCATATGTTACTTTATTTGATCATGCAAATTCCATAATATATCACCGATAAAACAAACCAAACCATGCCATGTAATGTTTTTCTTTTAATCTTTTTTTGTGTCAAAACGTCAAGTAATAGTTTCTTGTTATTTTATATTCTCTTATAGTTTAGCGCCTTCAGATTTCTCCGTACATGTTATAATCAAGATTTATATCGTTATTTTCTATATCACACGCTATTGACATTGACAAAACATAATATTAATTATGTCAAATCACAGGCTTTGGTCTTTTACATGGAGGCATAAATTTAAAAAAAAAAACTACGCAGGCAATATAAGCCTTTGAAGAAACGGCATTAATTTTGTTTTTGTACGTTTTCGAACGAAAATTTTCCATTAAAGTCGACACAAGAATCGGATAGTTAAAAAACTATTATAGGACAATTCGGCAACGGAACTCGAACCATTCAATGAATTTAAAATATCTCAATGAACAATTTGCAATGTAAATTGATCTGAGAATTATTCATTCCACGATGTTCTCGGTAGATAAGAGCTGCTTTAGCGAACAACGCCCAAGCATTGCGGGATCGCGATAAACTGGTCATCCCGACAATTAGGCGATTGGACGCTTCTTCGATAAATTAAACGAACGCAGAGCGATTTGAAATGTTAATGATATAGAATCCAACTTATACGCAAATGACTATCGAACCGTTTTTATAAATCCCAGTAGTCATTTACATTTCGATGGGCTAAATATCATTGAGGAGGAAATGACGACCATTAAGAAGCGACGCGATAGAAAAAAAATAACTTTAATTAGATTCCATTTTAGATTGGAATAATCCAAAGGTTTTTCAGGCCTTTTTTACATACAAAAGGTGTATAAGTAAGAAAGATAGATCTGAAGTACGGCTTTCATAGGTACTTCGAACAATTTATTTTACTAAATACATTTTCTAAGGTTTTGCAACAACTTCTTAATGTCGCGACTCTTGGTCTCAAGGTCCCTTGGCTTAATTTGGGTCCAATGCCTTGATTGTATGATTGTATGATTGATTGATATTTATAGTATCATAATAAATAAATACATAAAATGTAAAAGGTTATAAATGATATAGAGCGTGCTTTATATTTTATTATATGGATCAATAATACATTGAACATTCTTATCTACATTTTGAGAATGGGTAGAAACCGCAGACATATAGTTAGCCATAAAAGTTTTGAAATGAAATTATTTTATCCATTACCATTTAAATTTTAACAACATGTACTCTTTGATATTTATAACCCGTAAATTAAAAAAACTAACCTTACCCCAAACTTTGGTAAAAGAAATTATTTTGAAGAAAAATTATCCTTATCTGTAAAGAAATTTACTCTAGGAATCAATAATATATAGTCAAATTAAGCGTGACGTAACCCGTAAAAAGTGTCATCCAAGAATTAAACGTTGTTCCTATTGCCGCATACACAAGAAATCGTTGAGCCAAAAGTTTTTCGAAATCTTATTAAGACCAATTCAGCCACCAGTAAAAAAGAAAGCTACTACTACCCTTAACGGATTTGAATGATGTCGCTTATTACGTCAGCAGGCAGCCCGTGAACCTCGAAGCCACCGAAGCACATCGGTCCACCCTCTTGGCGACAAATTGGTAGTGAGACCGCTTATTCGAGAAATGCGAGTATAGCTCGTGAATCAGCCGCCACAAATGCATCGTGCAGAACTATTCCAACTGGTACAAGCCGTCCACTAATCAACGGTTATGGCGGGAAAATCAAGCGCGGCAACCATGTTGTGATTATATTTTTAATCTGCGCTACAAGCTGCCTGTGCTTCGTCTTGCCAGTGTTTTTTTCTTTCAGAATTTTTTGATATGTAGATTATTTGCTTACAATATTTTAGTAGAATTTGTTGATTTCTCATTATCAAATAATATTTTCATTAACAAAAACAAAACTGACTTCTAATATCGCGCTTACTTTGTATTTTCTATTTGATCTTGTTGAGTTGTTCCCTGTTCCCCGATACCAAGAATGAAATTAATAATTTTATACTATACAACCGAACTGAGAACGTAGACAGTTAAGTAGAGATAAGTATTTAACACGATCCTGCAAACCTCTTTTGCAATCCTTTATAAAACTGAAGCAAACTGTCCACGTATATGCGCAGATAACAATAAATGATAATGTTAATATCTAATTAACTATTCATTAAACGTATAAACGAACGCTAGGCAGACACAACCACAGTGAGTAACGCATCCCTTATCCGTGTATTAACATTAAACAGTCGTTTCTAAAAGGTTGATATTTTGAGGGCGGAAATAAGATTCCGATCGGTCGAAAATGAAAAGGGGACGAAAGTATAATTAAGCATGGCCTTATTCGAATTTTGAAATCTATCCGATAAAAAGTTGTCCCTGCGAACTAGCTATTTATCTAATTAGAAATTTTGTAAGCCTCGCAAAAAAACATGTATAGAACCATAGTATAGTAGTAGTAGTATAAACATAAAGCGATGCATTTTGGCTCTTACTGACTCTGTGATGGTTGACGACGACCATTTTCACAAATCAGTGTCAAACAGAACCTGACGGAATATTTTAAAGCACATGTTCACAATTAACCGTAGTTAATCGCGTCGGGATATAAATTGCGCATGAATGTGTCGACGACTGATAATCAATTAATAAAAGTCCCACATTAATCAATTTTGAAGAAGTTTTAATTAGACGATCAGAGAACTTTTGGACGTCTGCGATATTTATGCCATCTTTTTATATGCAGTTCAGGTAAGAAAAAGCAAATACACTAATAATGAGCCTAGAAATATAATATTTTACAAGAATATTAATTTTAATAATGTTCTCGATAAAAATAAAGGTGTATCGGTACATTTACTATCTGTGAGGAGGTCTGTTTCATAGTTTGCCTTCTTTCCGCAAAAAACAAATCAGTTACGCTAAGCTTACAATGCATTTAAAATATAGTGAATTCAGTAAGTAAATTCATTTATGTGAGTCACTTTGAATGAAACTGGCCACAGCACGTTACGTAATGCACAATGTGTACGTGACTTTATGTTCGATAATACTTGAGTATCCCGGATTGTTTAACAGTATTTCATCTCTATTATAGTATAATATTGATAATTAACGTAATTTCATATTCAAGATATTAAAAAGCAGTTTTGTTAATTAAGCGAAAGCGATTCAAAGATCATAATGCAACGAAGCCCGTTTCCTTTGTACATCGTAAAATATGTTGCCTTCATAATTAAAAATAAGCGTTACTGAAAATCCAATCCAACTTAAAAAAAATCATATATAATAACTAGCTGTCCCGGCATACGTTGTTTTGCCATATAAATCATTTGTAGGGTAGAAAAAAATTGTTTGGGGTGGACCACTCTTAACATTTAGGGGGATGAAAAATAGATGTTGTCCGATTCTTCACCCTAGCCGATATGCACACAAAATTTCACGAAAATCGGTTAAGCCGTCTCGGAGGAGTTCAATTACAAACACCGTGACACGAGAATTTTATATATTAGATAATATTCAAAAAATTATATCAGTTCCCGAAACTTATTAGAAAAACTATTGCACCATTTTAAGTTATGAGACACTTTACTACGGTATTTCTTAATAGAAGTATGTCATGACGGTGAAAAGGTGGGTGAAAACTTATTTTGCATTTAAAATCTTGTTCTGACATGACTTTTTTAGATACATAGAATTATACACTACTTAATGGACGACAAGCCCTTAATTTTAGGTCACTATCGATGTATTACGTCAACATATTTTCCCCAACTCTTGACAAACGCGTCAACTTTAAAACTCGTCAGCGCTATCGACAAATAAATGTGTCGTCAGTTTGCCTTGCCTCTTCGTGCCGTGCCGTGTCGTGCAGCGGGCACGCGCCGAATCTTGTGCCGAGCGGGTGCATTGACATCGCAGGTGGAAGGGCGGCGCGTGCGCAACACCTTGCGACTTCTGCCGGATTCTCGAGATTAGCCCTCGCGTTTTTACTCAGCGCCGGCCCTGTGCCACGAGATACGTAACTTCAGTTCCAACCGACTTCGAAAAAGGAGGAGGTTGTCAATTCGTTCGTGTTTAATGCAGTGTGGTCGAAAATGTCAACCATATTTTGATGGAGTGTGCGCCGTAATTGAGCCGTATAGGAGACAAATATTTCTGTCTCAAAATAATTTTACTTCGTTTAACGTTGACTGGTGTAACAGTGTTTTGTCTCTTCCTCTTTCAGCGGAACCCAATAAACTGTACAGTCTGACAACAATAGGATTAAAAAACCGTGTAAATACTTGTTGATTATGCATTTGTTTGTTATTATCGTGTTATTCAATATTGTATTTGGTTGTTATTATGGGGGTTACGTCTTCATATTTGAACTGTCCACCTCTATCAAATAAAACAGTCGGTAGTGTTTTTTCATGTTTTTCACCTCAGAACTCTGTCATTTATGAACCGATTTTATTTCGGTATAGCTTATTGAGATTGAGAGAGACAAATATACTTGTAACGACCGTATACAAATCAGTATCCCGTATTGTCTGTAACGAGACAGAAATAATTTACGCAGTTATGACACTGATTGACTATTTAAAAAAAATGAGCTCTTTAGAGAAGTAAAGTTATATAGTCACTTTGAATGGAATAATATATTCGTGTTATTAAATTGTCTTCAAATTGGTCATGAAAAATATCTCTGACTAATACCGTCTTTACCCTAACAGTCATATGTTAGGGTAAAATAGTAGTAATTTATATCCACATCGGGACGTGGCGAACTATGCACCAATGGATATAATGATATATGTTTAAATATAATTTGTTTTATCTCGACTTAGTTAGAACTCTATTAGGCACGTAACAGCAAATTCGTCATTTGTACAATAAAAAACTTAAATTCGAAATACACGCGCGATTTTAACTGCCCGTGTTGCAGAGCCCTTACGTTGCCCAGCAGTCAGACATTGTACAGTTACCTACTTAATCAGCTGATCAGTTGATATATTGCAAAGCGAGGTGATTTCCTAATTGAATACATATGACCGCATGACTCAGAGTCTGCATAGTTAGTGAAACCGAAACTAGCTACATCTGAGCTGCGCGCGTGAGTCAGCGCGGACGATGCGCCGTGAATCATTACGTCTGCGACTCTATAATGCACAAAGAGCGAGTTCGCATGTGCGGGTGAGGTCGATTTTTACGCGGCGTTACGCGGTTACGCGATGTTTAACCCGCGCGTAGGGAGATTACACTTGTGTGCTGAGTAGGGTGGTACAAGCGATTATTTTTAACCGACTTCAAAAGGTGGAGGTTCTCAATTCATCTGTATTTTTTTTTTGTTTGTTACCTCATAATTTATGACTGAGTGAAGCAATTTTGATGATTCTTTTTAAATTTGAACGCTGGTGCTTCCTACGTGGCCCCATATTAATTCCATTGTTATTCACCCTTGGGCCAGATATACTTAGAGAGCTCCTGGAAATAAATTATAAAATGAATACGGAACGAGATATTTGAGGTTGCGTTTTTCGTTATTAAGAAATGGTTGTTATTTTCATGTGAGGAGTAAGCGTGCCGGCGCACGGCGGTTCTCCTGATGTTAAGTGATGACCACCACCCATTGACATTTGCATCACCCGTATGGTTGCAGATACGTTGTCATAATGACGAATCCACCATCAAATCCATCAAGCGCATGTATCCGTGAACAGGGTTCGGCAACGTGGTGACAATCAATCTATTTTCTAAAGTCAAGAATTAACACTATTTTAATGTGTAATAAATTCAAGATACTTTTTTTCATTAAATAAATTTATTTTTCTTTTATTTTTATATCACCATAGTTTTATATTTGATTTATGTACAGATTTTGTTTTGTTTTTTTTTTAGTATGTATCATTTAATTTTTATTTACTTTATTTTTTGTAAAAATTTTTATTGTGTACGTCCTTTTTGGTAAATATGTCTTTTATCTTTCTTTCTTTCTTATATATTAATGATACTGTTTTATTTGCGATATATTTTAGAAATACTCTTTAGAACTCTATAGTAAAATTACACCTAAATATCGTTGTCTTTCTCTGTGACATTAAAATTATGTCGGTAGTAATAATTATAAGAAATAGCATATTCGACTGCTAAGATTTAATCTCTTGACCTTCTCTTGTAATTGAAATGAATCTTAGTTGATTAGAGATGAGTAGGATGCAGGTAATTCAGTTATAATACAGTTATTTTTATGACGTAAACATTTTAAAAATACGCGCTGAATATCTGTCCTGTCACCCGCGAATTCCATTGGTTAATAAAGAACAAATAAAAGATATTTTATCGATCTTTCGATTCCAAAATAAAACTACTCGGACATAAAAGCGCGTTAAAAGTGTAACTTCGTTACTTGCAACGACGCGTGTTAATTCTATGAATAATGTATCCGTGTGTACCACAGATAATAAATAGTCATAACATAATAATTTTTAAACGAATAAATGCCCAGCAACGGTTAGCCCCCGCTGAAGATAAGCTCAGGGTTACATCACCCAGCTGCCTCCCACCTGCCTCTGTTATAGGGATTTTTTGAGATCAATGACCTCAACACACCTATTTATAAGCTGTATTACGTTTATACGTAACAAGTCCTGTCGTTGGCATTTGACAGAGGAAAAATGAAAAAAAAATCGTTCGACAAATCGAATGCATCTGTCCGAATCAATTTTTATTAATTGCCGGTTTAAAAATATTTACAACAGATAAAATCTATATGAGCAGAGATTTTATCTTGACTAGCTCGGTTAATAGCGATGAAATAAATTTTTAACTGTGTTTATGTAATGAATGTTTAAATATTTGATAAAAAAATCAGGAATAAATTCACAGCCAATTCATTGCACACCTATAAACTCCATGGATGTAGCGACAAATTTAGGCGAAATATGTCAATCAATGTGGACCACGTTTAAAAACAAAATAACCCTCCATTTCAACAATCTTACAAATAACTCAATGTTCTCGAAAAAATATTTCGATTGTAGTTCTTTTCGTTGATGCAAAGAAAGCCCACAATTTCCCACCTTGTGAGGATGAAACATAATCCTCAGCATGACGTATGCTTAACATGGATGAGACTGACCCTAACACTATAGGGAATGTGGAACCAAATAGTATGAGGCATTACTGCAAGCATATATGAACAGGGGTTCTTTGGTGAGACTACTGTTGCAGGGCCATGCAACAGCTTCGGGTGTTGCAGGAATGGGCAGGTTCGTACGGGACCACTACCTCACAAAGGACCGGCGTGATGTGTTAGTGTTATACTGCTGCGTTTCGTCTGGTGCGTGAAGTGGCCGGGGCCCACTATGTTAAAAGGCGGCAACGCTTTTGCAACATTTGCAACCTACGGGTGTTGCAAATGTCGATGGGTGGTGGTTATCACTTAATATAAGGTGAACCGCCAGCTCGCTTGCCACCCTCTGACATTAAATAAACTTAAGGGAAAGCGCCACGGCATGTATATTGTCTTTAGAAGACCGGTGTGAGGAGGAAGTATAACTAAAAAGACTAAAAAGTTTATCCCGAACAACCGGCGTTCTAAAGGCCTCCCCCTTAGAACGCCACAACGGACGACAGTTTGCCTTGTTCAACAGTGGACATCTTGCGGCTGATGATGATGATGATGATGGTTTAATTAACTTTGAATTATAGATAAATGTCAAAAAAGTTATTATTGGTTGCCACGGTAACAACATGGAGTTGGTGTCACTTTTAGATGTTGCGCATCGTAAAAATTCTCTCATAATTTTGCTCAATCGCACCAAAAGAATTACAACTAAAAAAATTTGCAATTAAAATTTATTACGACATGGTGACTAAAGAACGGTTCAATAGCAACAATTTAGCTTTAGATATTGAGAAAATTGAAATAAAAGTGTGATAACCTTCAATACCCAGAAATGACATTGTACAATCCACACAGTAACAAAAGCGAGGCAAAAATCTGAGTGTTTAAAAGTATTCGTCATAAATATAAGGAATATTTTTTTTTTGTCAGCTCTGATTTAACGTGTTCAATTAAATCCATCCGCTTTGCAACGGGCGACCCACAACAATCAATACAAGATGTTTCTCTTAATTAAGAATGTAAATTATCATTTATATCGCGTTGCGTTCGTTTAATGAGTCACCTGGTAGCATTAAGAGCAGCTGGTGTCGTGCCAGATAACCGTATTACGACCCGGAGACCTGATTTTGTGGTAGCCGACTCAAGGGCACACGAGTCTTTATCTGTATTAGCAAATCACGGTGACAAATTAGCCACAGAGCAAGAAATGCAGTGAGACCGTTTCATGCGAAATTCTGTCGAAGTATTACATTGAATCCATTTTGAAATAAGTTTTTTTTTTAACAGTGACTGTAGATAATGGTACGAGTAAGCAAAAAGTAAAAGTAAGTATAAAACATATATGTTCATAGTGCACATCGATGAATGTACTAGAACGTATGTAATAGTTAAGATAGGGATAAAGATTTACATTAGCTTACAACGAACTATCAGATTAAATATAAAGGCAAAATTTTTGATGATGATTAATTTTTATGAACCTACCAAACGCGCTTAGTAAAATTCTAGCGAATGCTATTAGGAAACTGTGCAAATTCAGCTCTAAAATATACATAACTTTGGAACTGGTTTAAACTAAAATCACCTCGTATTTTTATCACCTGTGTATTTATTATTACGGTAATGAATACTTGAATGCGTGGACAATACTTTTTATGTCATTGAAAATTCCAAATCTCCAGTCGTCGTTAGTTTTGTTTTTTAATTTTTAATCTGCGACGCAAAAAGGAAAGTCACCGATGCGGCCAGCCATCAGCTGTGCGAGCGACAGGTTGCTGCAGACGTGTGCGCGGGAAAGATGACCGATGTCGGAGTGTGCGTGAGGAGGACAGATGCTGCGTACATCTGCCGCGGCGCGTGCGCAGCATCGCCCCACACTGTTTGATCCTTTCGAGACTAGAGCCTTCTTTCTACACATAACGGAAAGGCGGGAAATGTATCACATTCATTTTAACACAGGGTTACATTGGCCGAAATATTTGGTCGGTTAATAATCTCATGAGATTTATTTTGGTGGATTTTTTTCTAAACTAATTGAAAAAACTATTGTATTCATCTGAACTGGTATTAGTGTTCCCGCTGTTAGTTTTGCAAAAGACACCAGCTCCTACGCCTTTACTTTAATTCCTCTGTTAATATCTGGATGACATTGCTTTCTTTGGGACTGAAAGAAATATTGTTACACAACCTTTTGCAACTTCCGTTAAGCGTGGAGAAAGACCGCTGGAAATGTTAACATCGGAAGTCTATTACCATAGTATACTGGGAAAGAGTATCCAATAACTGAACATACGTATATTTTATTTGTGTGCTTATTCTGAAACCTTGGACAAGTATCAAAATCATAGAAGCCTCGTATCCCTTCGATCAGCTGCACGCCTCCCGTGCCCGACATCTCGCGACTGGCTGTCTGTGCGTTTATACGTGAATTTATCAATACAAATAATATTAATAGAAAACACACAGTGGCATGCCGCCAATTGAGGCCTAAGAACTTTCGAATAAGGCTTCGACGTATAATTGAAATTTCGCATTGCATTATTTTTAAAGAAATGTGTAACATAATGAATTATTGATGATTTTAATTGAGGAAGGGGAAGACTATTGGTCTTATCCTACAAAGTATCGTGGATCTATGTTAAAAGCTATCTAAAGATAACAGATTAGTTAAATCTAAACAAGTGTGAACAGATTACCAACATCTTATATTATAGTACTAGCTGCCCGGATAGACTTCGTTCTTTTTTTATAGTATTAAAACCTTCCGTGAACCTTAAGGAATATACAAAAAATTAGCCGAATTGGTCCAGCCATTCTTGACTTATGCACTTACCAACATTCATTTTTATTTATTAAGATTAGGATACACAGTATGAAGATCAATAATTAACTGAGGCATTATCGTGTTGCAGGTATTAAAAATGCGTGTTAATATTAAACGAAATTTTATAAATTTTATAGAATTTATTTTAAATTAAGATTTGTAGAGCAAAGTACGAAATGTTTGCTTGAAATGCGAAAAACCAATGTAGATAAAAGACGTTGAGATTTTCGTTGGTGCGATAATCAGCCGTTTAGCTAGTATATTGTTACTTGTTAGTATTTTGTTGCTAGTATTACTATAGTGGTTAAAGCGTCTGGATGCGAATCCCGAAGACGTGGGTTCGATTCTCACAGCGGCGAAACACTGTTCGTACCTTTTTCTAGAAATTTTAATTTTTAACCTAAAGTGCTGAGATTAGCACAAATAAATTTATATCAAACTTAAATTCCTCACTATTAGAATTCATCACAGCATTCGCAGCCACGGGACACACGTTAATGCAAAGCGTAGCATCATGTCATAACAATATTACGGTCCTGAGTGTCTTTTATGCGGAAAGGTCACAAGCGAGCGGGCAGTTCACCCGATGTTAAGTGATAAACGGGGTCCATTGACATTTGCAGCGCCCGTTGCAGATACGTCGGTACCTTTTAATAAATTGGGCCCCGGCTACCTCACTCACCAGACGAAACGCAGAAGTATAACACTTCCACTTCACGCTGATCTTCTTAAGGTCGTGGTACTCGTACTTATCAGTCCGTTCGTGCAACAGCGAAATCTGTCGTGGCCGTACCACAGCTAAACTAGGTATTTTATTAAAATAAGACATTTTGAATTTTTGACAATGTTATCTGAAAACATAAGTGTGCACGCATCTGACTTGCAAAATCGAGAGCTGGTGAGTCATTCTGGCATTGACCATGCAATCTTGAACCGCTGAACATAAGCTTGTATCTTGTATTAACTGATTTTTCTGCTTTCAGTCCCGAGACTATTAAAGCTTCATCTGACGCAGAACCGGTGGGCTAGCCAGAACCCACGGGTTTGGGCCCTCCGCTGTGGGTAGGGCCACGCATGTGCTCATGCGTGCGTTTAAGTATGGTGTGTCATCTAAGGGCCATCGAGGTCGTGGTTCGGACCGAAACCCCGATGGCCGTCGACTGTGCAATTAGCTAATCGGTGGCTGGGGGCGGTGAGAACCGCCCCGGAACGCAGGTGTTCCTTGTGTACGCGTTGTGTTGGTCTCGCCGTGCTCGGAGGCGAGGGCGAACTAGTGTGTTTGTTGTTGCACTAACTGTGGGTGTAGTGTTAACCGGCGGGACCCCCGGCGGTGGGTCCGGCGTATCTAAGTTCCTTCCTCGACCAGGTCGATTAGGACGTTTCGCGGGCGACGCTTGTTGACGTTCGCGTTTGTGTCGGGTTGGTAATTTGCTGCGCTTACCACCAGAGGGTTGGGATGATGTTCGACTCTATCGAAGAACCGTTTGGTCAGGTCTTTAAAATATTCGCGAATCGTCGGGAGTCTGCAATCGCTGTGCAGGTCGACGTTGCCTTGATACCACTGTGCACCGGTTGCGCGGCGGATCAACTTATTTTGTACTATTTGAAACTTGTACAAGCGAGTAGGGTGCGTGTGGGAGACGGTCATGCATGCGTAGGACATAGTAGGTCGTACGCAGGTCTTATATAATAATAATTTGTGCCTTAAGGGCATTTTACTTTCAGCGCTAGTTAAATTGTATAGCCGGCCGGAGACGAACGCGGCTCTATTGCTAACGTTATTAATGTGCGTGAACATAACCATCTTGTGTCATCTGCGCTTTATGAACCATAGGCGAATTTACCTAATTAATTATATAACATATTGCCCGACAATTTTTAATCACAATCAGACAGCTAATTATAAATTCTAATTGAATTGCTGCCAATGAATATGTTAATCAAAGAAATTCTTTTGGTACGCGGAGCAAATTATAACGCGATATAAATCAATTTAACAGTCCATTCAATTCATACCTATTTAAATATATGTTTATTATTTATGCAGTAAATATAAATAAAAAAGTAAATATAAATTCCCTAGAATTCCCAAGGAGATTGATGACAGGTAGGCGGGCGGTCATAAAGCCAATGACTGAAATAACAACATGATTCTGAAAATAAATGATGGATATGTTTTGCCGACCCCACTTCGTGTTGGATAACGGCAGAAGAAAGCACAAGAAGAAGTTTTATGGAGTAATAGATATTGGATGAAAATCACATAAGCCTTGTCAAAGTCACATTATTGTAAGCATAAGCAACCTTGACCACCGCCCCATCTTATCCCGCACAATAAGGTTATATCAAGAAATTTCAAGGAAGTTCAAATCTTTATACTTTTACTCTTTTTATGCATTTCTCTTTACCGTCTTTATTAAACAACAAAAAATTAAATAATATAAAATTAAAATAAAAAAACTAAATAATTATAAAATTTAAATCTTATAACTAGAATGCGATGTTGGCGAAAGAGAGATTTTCTGTTTTGTAAAGACATCAATTACGATATTTTTGTTTCTTTACAGTCACGCTCAATTTTTTCGCCAAATTATGTATTTTAGTTTTTATTGACTCAAAACACTTCCGGGCAATACAATACTGTCCGGGCGCTCGCCTTTAATTCAATATACTCGAGCAACCTGAGTTCGATCCCTGGTGCCGGCACCAATGAAGTTTTTAACTTTAAGTGCTGACTTATCACGTGCTCCGCGGTGAAGGAAAACATCGTGAGGAAACCTGCATTTTTTCGAAATAATAACAAAAAAAAATATTTCGAAGATACCCTCTGTATAGAGGAGGCTTTAGCCGGCTGGCCTTTGCCCAGCAGTGGGACATGTATAGGCTGTTACTTTTTTTTTCTTTTCAATACACTTAAGTTGCGAGCACGACAATTATATTACTTAATACTAATTGTGAACGCTGTGACTACATTTCTTTTTACTGCAATATTTTTCTTAGTCTTTTATTAAATTTAATTTTGATGCTTCCGCACAGACGGACACACCACTCAGTCGTCATATTGCGTAAATGCCACACAAATCGTGTGATTCCCAACTATCGGTGTGTCAGCCCCTAACGCGATGTTGCAGGGGCGCGCCTCATTGCGCAATACTATTACTAATTACGTAAGATAAATTATACATTGCGAGCTATCCGATCTCAGCGATCATTCAAAGCAGCCGGGCGGGTAAACGGCCGCCATTCTTGTTTTTTCCCGCGTAAATGGATGCAGTGTTGCTATTCAAACAGAATAACATTTCATGGTTAAATAAAAGTATTTTACTGAGATTTATTTTGTTTTTAAATAGCTTTAAAAATTAATTAATTTTAACACAATTATTTTAAAGTGTGATTTCAGTTCAGATTAGAAGTACATTTGTATTAAGTACTTAAGTATGTATGTGGGAGGAATTCACCATAATAAAATATTTTTGCTGTGAACGATTTGACAATGGTTTTGTGCTATGGTGCGGTGGAAACTGTAAGTGCACCCACGTGAAGTTATGGAATAGACCTTAAGTAATCATTATCCTCCTGTCCTTATCTTACCTAAGTGTGATCGGAACATGTGATTCATGGTTATATTCTTATCGGCTAGGTTCGTGTTGCCTGACGTCAACCCTTCTTCAGTTGCAGTGAAAACGAGCAACCAAAGGCGATGAAGAAAGCTGGAGTTTCTTTACGTAACATTAGAACACCCACTTTTTACAAGTTTTTTTTTCATTTAGTTACTCTCATAGATTATCAATTTCTGTGTGCCTGTTATTTAATTTAAAAAAAACACCGAAAGAAAGAAGGTTCGTCTTAACCGGGCGGCCTACGACACTTCTCCACTTTTTATTAAAGCGAAGGCATTTCATATTACATTGTCGCCGCTAAAGGTAAAAGTTCATCTGGCGCGCTACCTGCCAACAAAACGAGAGTTTTGATCGACATCGAGGACGCAAAAAAACGAGAGAGAATTAATGGAACGGTTAAAAAATGACGACAGATGCTGACAATAGACGGGCAGTCGAGGACAAAAGTTTTATAATTGTTTGTTTTAATGTGTTGTTATATATAATTGGTTGTTTTAATTTGTTTTTTGTTTAATTGTTTGTTATTATTGTTTTCATTTTCAAGTCAATCAATTCTCGTCGGCGATTCGATAAAAAATGTTTTTATCACGTGAGCCACCTGCCCATGTGCCCCCTTTTTCCCATGAATGAAGACCATATTATATGTGTAATCAGTAACACAGCCCATACCCATCATGCGTAGTACGACTTCGAATTAGAAACCTTCTACTACCACCAGGCGAGCCACGATCGCATCCTTACATCCTTAATCTTATGATAGAATTTAATAGCAGAAAAATATTTCTCAATTTTAATGTGCAAGGATTTGTTAAATTCTCTTTATTGAGCATCAGTATCTAATATTGTAGATTTGATAAAATTTGCATGAACAGTCGAGTGGATAAACATCACAAATTAACTATAGCGTATTTTTCGCTCAACTGTACAGGATGGCGACCTGTACCGGCACGAGCTAAGACCGGTAAAAAGTGTTTGATTGTCTCCGATCGGGAGCGCGGCCATTGTCCAACGCGCCGAGAAACGGAACTTTTCCCGCCCAAATCTTTCGTTAGCGAGACGAGATATTGTTTTACTAACGACCGTTAACGTCGCCTATCCGCTTTAAAAAAGCAAACGGAAAAAAGTATGTTTAAAGAGTCATTGTTCAGTTCAAATTGCTTACTGAAATCGTCTTGTGGTCTAATTACCCCCCCCCCCCCCCCCCCCCCCCCCCCCCCCCCTTGAAAGCCACAACGAACGAAAGTTTGCCATTTCCATCTACCGGTTGCCCGCGACTCTTACGATGTCGTCGGTCCACCTAAAAGGAAGCCATCCAACGCTACGTCTTCTCTTTTAACTTTTACTCCCAATCATTCATCAGCTCTTCGAGCGATGTGGACTGCCCTCAAAGTCGACAAAATATCTAAACATCCAAAAAAATCTTTACAGTTTTACTTTAACAGATGTTTCTGCTCGCAGTCCATAGATTTTTTTACTCCGAAAGCAGAACTCGTGGGACAGCCACAACCCACAGCCAGGATATATATGGCCCTTCGCGTTAAGTATAAGCATGAGCTCTGTATGTGGGATGGAATATCCTACCTACGGGCGATTAAGGTTCCGTACGTACCGTAACCCCAGTGGCTTTTTATTATTATAGAAGGTGGCAAGCGAACTGGCAATTCAATCATCTAATGTTAACTACAAGAAAGACCGCTCCGAGCTCAAATGGAGAAAGCGGTGCTCCTTGATACCGCCCGCATCGTCCGTCTGTTTCTCTCCCTTTCGCCCTAAGCCTCGGCCCTTTGGTCTCCCCTGGCCCTGCCCAGAGCTTTCGTCTGAATGGGTCCCGTTTATTTATTTGTTATATACAATACACATCTGTATTTTTATTTTATAAACACAATCATACGAGTGAACAAATAAATATCACCTAACAAAATAATGATATTCAGACTTCTCAACAGCTCTGTTCCGTAACCATAAACGTCGAGAAATAAACGCGATAAATCTGTTAAAACAGTTACATTTAGTGTTACAATCTTAATTCCATTCAAACCGTTCTTCTAATGGCTTGACTTCTTATTTTTGTGGACTCCGTAGCGCAGTTGCAAAGGTATTGGTTTCGGATTCGGAGGTCGTGGGATCGATTACCACACGGGAATCGTTTCGAATCGAATTTTGTGTGACAAACAGATAATTGTTTCGCATCTGGGGATTTGTCCGCGTGAAATTTATGTTTGTAAAACAAAAAAACGTCCTTACAACACAGGATAATGTACCCTAAAGGGCAATGTTTTTTTTAAAGTGGTGGGAGTCAACGCACTACTTACTCAATTAGCTTGGTAATATGGTAATAGACTTGACACCTTGATTATACCGTAGCCAATTTAACCGCCAAACGGTAAATGTGTCCTTAATGGAGTGAAAGTGCCCAAAGACGACAGATGCACGCTGCCCACCGGCCTATACATTCACATATCTTAAGTTATCTTCCTTCAGGCGAGAGAAAAATCGCAATTGATTTGAAGACATATAAAAATCGGCCTCGTATGAATACAATCTCGTACATTTAAAAAAAGCGATTCGCTTTTTTTGCGGCATTGGTGAAAACCATACAACTATAACTATGAAAAATAATTAATACCTGAAACTGGTGAAAAGATTGTGAACGAAGGCGCACGAGACTGCACCAAGCCATTGATCCCATATGTCTGATGAATGCTTTTTGTATGCTGAATGAATCATTCCTATAGTCTCTGCAAACGATTTAATCCCAGTCATCGTTCGACAAAATCTAAGCCGACAGATTTGTGGCATAACAAGAGGCGATTCTCCTCAATACCGCCCCATCCCCATCGGTATTTTCCCTCTGTCCCATTTCCCTTTCCATAGCTGAGCTTTGTTCTCCTGTATAAATTTTATCTAATTATTATATCAAATTCAAATTTTACGAACTCTTTCGTTTGTCATATATACAATCAAATATATTCAACCTAAGTAACCTGCCTAAGTTTTTGCAAAGAAAGGAACAATAAACAATTTCTTAAATTTTTAAAATATCTAAAAATTATTTTTTCTTAATACAAATCTATGATTTTGAAGCTGGCCCTATCCCGGTTTTTAAATGAGTGAAGACACTATTAAACTCGAAAATTAAAACAGTTATTAGATATTTACTCCAATTGCTACTTGCGGTACTAAAACTAGAGAATCAATTTGAATTTGCCTAATTTGAGGTAAGTTACAAATAAACAACAATACACGTGTTTCATCTCTGCACTACACAAGTATTATCTGGCTACATAGGTCTTTAGGATTTCACGTAGATAAACTAACAAACTTAACGTTACAAACCCGTTGTGGTCGACATTACTTGATTTATTACTGAAACTATTTTTGTAGGGTTTCTCTCTTCATATAAATCTCCAGTATATTTTGTTCCATTAATATACCTACCTAGTGGGATGTGAGCGTTCCTAGCACTTACGCTAAGTGTCCGGCTCGCTTGTTCCCCTATCTAAAACCCGATACAAGATCGCACCCGGCGATTGGATGCTGCGCAGCAGCCGTAACGCCTACCGCGAGAGATCAACCAATCGAACAGCGGTATCTTGTACACAAGATTACATACGTCGTATAGAATTGGGAAGCTTTAGTCGATAGGGTTCAGCGCAATCAATGTATACAGATATTAACATGTTAAAAGGGATTCTGATGTTCATTTCGACGCATTTGTACTGATTTTTGAAACGTAAATCGTAACTGTTTTGGTAAACAATCTCTTCAGTACTTCCGGGTTAATGAGAATTGTTAATCGATTAAGAATTTTTATAATAATGTTATTTTTTTAAACTCTTGAGAAAATTAAATTTTAATATGTTAATTCCTATTTTTAAATAATAAATAAATAACCAATAATAAATAAAGCATTTCTTACTTCTTAGTGCTTCCATCTAGTTTCTTTAAATAGGGCTATTTCATATATTATATATTATTATAATCATAAATATCATGATAGTTCTTCTACTCGCCGCTAGAGGGCAATGTACTGTATAGATAACAGTTTAAAAAGTGAGGCCACTACGTAATCTATAAAGAAAAGGATATAGTATAGAATGGAATAGAAGGTACATGCAAAGGTATTTAAAAACAAACAAGACAGTTTTGTAAGTTACTAAGCATTTTTTTTATATTATTCAAAAATATTATAAATTTTGCATTATGTTTCCACTGAATCAGAGATGGCATTGTTGTAAACTCTATTTGAATATAATATATATTCTTATTGACCTTTATTATTACAGAAAAAAGTTAAAAAAAAGTATTTACCGCATTCAATGAAATCGATTTTTAATTACACTTTTGTTTTAAATTATTAATAATGTGCGTAGTACATTAGAGTTAGTTATTTTAGGAATTTGGAATATCAAAAGCTAAATTGACTGTTAGAAGTTGCTTAGATTACCAATATATATTCCCATTACATTTACAATTACATACCATTGAATAAGAATTTAAACTAGGTACACTATACTTGAAAAAAAAATAGATTTTATACAATGAGCATATTTCATTGGAAACTAGGCGAAATTGCACTTGCTCGTATTAGTCAAAAGGTTTATGCAAAAGTACAAATAGTTAAAGATGAAAAGGGGTTATTTTACGACGACAAGGGTTTGGTTTTTTTTCTGTAATAGAAATATTGAAACAATTGAGCATATGGTAGTAAAGTCTTATTCTATGTCAGTAGAGTTTAAGGCTCTAAAACTTACAATTACGACATTTGTATAAACATTTATTTTTTATATCATCAGTTTTTCCTCATCCTCCATTAAAATTTAACCCTTTATTAGAACAAAAAGTCAGGGGCCTATATTTATTACAAATTTTACAGTAAATTCCCCGTTTTCCTTTTAAAATATTTTCAAACAGATAAGAATACTAAGTATAACATGAAACATTAATTATTATTATGGGAGCAGCATTTTTTGTTTTTCACATAAGCAGCATCAAGTAATAGAATCAAGTAAAAAAACATTTCATCTAAAATTTCGTTCAATCAATGCTTCATATAAATGTGCTTTATAAAATTAAGAACAGGATATAACTAATAATATAGATTTGGTTTATTAACTGTTGTGACATTTTGCAGTTTTAGGGATCTCACCATCTGAAGATGGCATTACTGTGACCAAGCAACTGTGTTACTATGTTGAGATAACAAGAACAAAAAATAAAATGTGGTTGCCATACACTAGTCTGTTCTTAGCAGCTCGCTCTAGACCATTCTATGGGCCTGCTGATAAAGTTCAAACACCTACTAAGCCTCCATCAGTCCCTAGAAAGGTATCATTTAGCAGTGAAATTTAATATTATATACTTATTGCTTTATTAGAAATTTATAAGAAAAACAGTAATAATGTTACCACATGTAATAATTGTCACTATTTCAATTGAAGAAGTCCCTAAAGACTGTTATTACTTTAGATAAATTATCACATTCAGGCAATTAAAACACTTTTTGAGTATTATGTAAGTATGAAACAAGAACAATTATGAGGTATATAAAAATAAGTTGTACAAATTCAGAATACATAATAATTTATTATTATATAGTTAGTCATTCATTTCAGACATTTATATTAAATATTTATATAATTATTTATATTAAAGGTACTATATTTTTGTTCGGTTAATTGCCTGTGAAAATGTTTCAGAGAAAAATAAAGGAAGACTACACACTCCCCTTGTGTGTGAAACTGTCAAAATCAAAAGAACCAGATTTTAACACAACATATGATATAAGACACATACCATTGAGGCAAGGAAAATATGAGAATGCATTCAAAGAGTTTGTGAGAAGGGGCAAGGAAATGCTCTTTGATCAGTTTTATTTACAGCTTCAAGAGAGCAAGGAAAATGACGAATGTCTGGATTATGTGGAGAATATTGATGCAAGTACAGAGGACAAATTTGAGATGACCATCAAGAGCTATGTTACAGAGAAAGAAATCGAAAATTATCTCCATCAGTGTTGGAGATACAATTTTGTTCATAAACAGTCTGACAATAAAGACTCAAATGACAACAATGTTAGTGGACATTATGTATCTAAATTTTTTGCAGTGTAGAATATTTCTATTTTGAACTGTGTTATTACAGCGCTTTGATATGTTCTGCAGCAGGTGACGTAATCTAATAAGAACCACGTAATAGTGTTGCACGAATTGGCAGGTCCATCTGGGTAAGTACCACGACTTCACAGAATATGGGCGTAAATTGGAAGTGTTATACTTCTGCGTTTCGTCTGGTGAGTGAGGTAGCCGGGGCACATATGCAACCCTACGGGTTTTGCAAATGTCCTTGGGCGGCGGTCATCACTTAACATTAGGTGAACCGCCAACTCGTTTGCCACTTTCTCGCATAAAAAAAAAAAACAAAACTCGTAGTCCTTTTGTATTGCTAGTGTTTGCAGCATGCAGCAAATGTTGGTGCTGCATTAATGGGCCAGCTCTTCTGGGAAACAAAAACGTCCTCGCAGTAGACCGGGCGTAAAGGATTTCTACTTTTATAATTCGTCTGTTTAACACTTTGCACTGGAAACGTCCCTTCTGCTGATGTACCGAGTTCTGCATACGGCGGGTATCAGTTCCTATTCAGTGCTCGTTTGCTAATTTTTCGTAATTTATTTTTTTCTTGTGTTGAATCGGAGACTAGACCCATGATTTGGAGTAACTGATGCGTGGATAGTTGAATTTCAAGTTTAATTATATATCTTTTTTTTTAAAAATCCGTTAATATTGTCAAAACTCATTTTTTATGTAAGGAGTCAAGGGCGGCCGCCAATAGATATTTTTACGGTACCTGTAAACAGTACTAGCCCTAACATTTTATCAGGCTAGACCAAGATTGTATTTCAGGGCCCGGGCAAGATTGTATTTCATAGAAGGTGCTTTCACTTTGCATTTATGTTAAATAAGTAATAATAACCAATATTTTTTTTTAAAACATGCTCCAATTCATTCCTCAATCTCCATGTGCTGATCCTGCTGAGTTTGGCTGCGGACTCACTGGCTCCAGAGCAGAGAAATATCTACCTTTAGCATATATATTAAAAAATAAATACATTCAGATATAACACAACGAAAGCGCCACTTCCACAGAAGTCGCTGTCGCCCGTCAAGAGTCCGATAACTCTCCACACGTCCTGGTGTCTGGTCTGCGGCAAGCCGGATCGTCTCCGCCAGTGCCCCAACTGCCCCTCATCCTTCCACCTGCCGTGCCGTAGGGAATGGCTGATCACTATAATTCGTATGTATCATTTTGCGTGTCCATACACCTTTGCAAAGTCCATACAGAACCCAATGGCTGTCGTCGGTGTCTTCGTGAAGCGCTTAGAATGAAGAAGTTAGATCTCTTCGATATTGCACGGGTGGGCAGATTCGTCCGGGGAAGTACCACGACCTCACAGAAGACCGGCGTGAGGTGGACGCGTTATCCTTCTGAGTTTCTAGCGAGTGAGGTAATCACAGTCAGTGGCGACGGTCATCACTTAACATCAGATGGACCGCCAGCCTGTTTTTTTGTATGAATGTAATTGGCCAATCTCTGAATTTACGGAACCATTCCGAAAATCTTTTTATTGTTGAGATTGCGCAAAGGAACAGCCGGAGGCGCGCCAAAAATCGACCGGGCAAAAAGACAGCTGCAACATGAATGGTTCGGTCGAACGAGGTCTGAGCAGACCTTTGCTGAATTATCCTTACTGATATTATAAAGGCGAACGTTTGTATGTATGGATTGATGTTTGTTACTCTTTCACGTCAATACTACTGAATGGATTTCAATGAAACTTTACAAAAATATAGCTTATGCATCAGAATAAGGCATAGGCTACAATTTATTTACATATTTTTATTTATATCTGTCTTTCTGTCTGAATGTTATGCCTTCAGCCTATTCTACGCAGACCTAGTTGCGGGCAGCAGCTAGTATTAAATATAGTGTAGCTTCGCAGTGTTATTTATGGTGAGTTTAGGGATCCGGGGAACCATTATAGGTGCATTAGAGGCATTACATCCGAGTCCTCTTTTACGTTTGGTGAATGTAGATGATGAAATTAACTCAAGAAAAAGTGGATTAACTTATATAATTGAGCTGATTCACTCGCAGGCTTCGCTGGTTATGAATATTTGTTGTTGTGAATAATTTAGAGTAATTTATGAATAAATGATTTAGATAATAAATCAATTAAGAGAGAGAGCATTTTAGATTACATTCTAACGTTACCCTGTGTACACAAAAATATTTTACTATCATGGACGCGTATTGGAGTCAATTGTCCCTTATGGAAATCGAACACAAGTGCTGACCTAGCGGCACCGCTAAACTATCACTCACAAGCTTCACTAACGGAGCCCTTAAAGTAATAACAATACCCTGATTAAAAAAATCACGTATACTTTAACCAAAACTATCCTTTTTGTCTATAACGAACGGTTTCCACCTAACCATTTGAGTGCCGCAGTTTCGTATTTGTATATCATATCATTGCAATCAGCTTTTATAATAATTTTTAACAAAAAAAACCGACGTCAAACAGGAAACTAAAAACATTGTTAATACCTTTAACATTTGAGGATTGCCCTCGTTTTCTCTGGGATGCCATCATAAGATCCGGTTTTCCTTATCATGGTACCTCCCTTGTATATCTCCTCGCCAACAAAAAAGAATCATCAAAATCGGTTCATAAACGACGAAGTTATCCGCGAACACACAAAAAAAAATTAAAATATATACGGTCGTATTGAGCAACCTCGTTTTTTTTAAGTCGGTTAAAATAACACCACACACATAGTGGTACTAATGAACGCTCGTAGGAAGTTATACTAATTTACTCTTAGTTTGTCACACGTTGTTAAATAATTTGGAATTACAGGCAAAAGTTGTTATTGGTTGCCATGGTAACCAATATCGCACATCTTAAAAGTTCACTCTCATAATTTTTCCCAAACGCGCCAAAAGAAGTAGGACTTCAAAAAGAATTAATATTTCACAATTACATAAACATTTTTTTTAATCTTTAGATGAAGATTAATGTGATATCCTACGACGATAAATGTACGTTTATATGTATACAGCGTGTCGTTACCATCGCGACAATAAATGAACACACATATATATATATACATAGGGGATAACTTTTTAAAGTTGTATTAAACATTTAAATTCTTTAAACATCAATATTTACAGAGTTATTAAATTTAACCTATAAAAGCGTAACGTAAACTTCATTTGTAAAGGTCACAAAGCATATGAATGGGTTGAATGAATTTAAAAGAGACAAAAATTACTGTTAGAAGGAGAGGCTTGTAATGCGACGCTGTGGCGCGAGTTGTATATGTGTTACAAATTTTGTTTCTTTTTTACTTAATTAGTTTGTTTGAAAAATATTTTTTTTATTATGGATTTTGTTTAACGTTAGTATTTTTTTATGATTATTGGCAAGTAGCATTAGACGTGTGTTAATTTATTGTCGCGATGGTAACGACACGCTGTATAGGGCTATATATATTTTATTTTACAGATCGCAAAAACCCACCACAGAAAGCCAAAAAGCAGGCGATGTTTGTTGAGAAGATATTATCGAGCACCCGTACCATATGCTCCGTGATAAAGGAAAAAGAGAACATTGAACTATGCCCGAGTTGTATGTGGGGTCCTCGTGTTGGGTAAATAAATGTTTATAAAGAATATTTACAATGAGAATTACTAACTTTTTCATAAATTATAAACAAATGATCAAAGTAATTATCTCTGTGAATGTATTCTTCCTTTATTTTTTTTGTGAGAAGGTGGCGTGCGAGCTGGCGGTTCTCCTGATGTTAAGTGATAACCGCCGTCCATGGACCATTTGCAGCACCCATGGGGTAGCAGATGGGTTGCCACCGTATAACAAAGTGGGCCCCGGTTTTCTTAGAGACGAAATGCAGAAGTGTAACGCTTCCCCTTCACGCGGGTTTTTCTGTGTGGTTGTGGTACTTACCTGGACGGACCTGCCCATTCGTGCAACACAGAAGACTGTTGCGTGGCCCTACCACTGTTATATCTTCTTTTGAAACAAAATTTGTTGAATAATGTAAGAAAATAATAATTCTCACTTTATTTTTATACCTTTATATCTTAGGGACGAAGCAAATTATTATTGTTAAATCAGTGTGATTTTTCCTCACCACACTTCTTTGTATAGTATCTCGATAAATAATATTTTAAAAAGTTCGCTTTCTGGAACGTACACGTCAATGATAAGGTACGACGACGTGGTGTGGCACAAGCTGGGCTCTTGCCCGTGGTGGCCGGCGCGCGTGCTCACGCCGGGGTCAACGCCCTCTTGTCTCCTTGCACGCACTCACTCCCACCACCACTGGCCGCTCAAGTACTACGGTAATGCCATAAACTAATATGCCATGATCATAAACAACTGATTTTTCTTTCAGTCTATTGAAGCTATACTTGTGTGTTACGAGAAACTCAATGTTTATGTAGTTAATAGTTGCCCTGATTTAATGTGAGAAGTCATTTTTTTTTATTCATATATTTTCAATTTATAGTTTTTTATAGTGCTAATCTCTGCACTTAAGATTGAACATTAAAACATATAGAAAAAGTACGAAAAGATTGTCGCCGCTGTGGGAATCGGACCCACGTCTTCGGCATTCGCGGCCTGAGCTAAACGGCTGATAGCCACAGCGACGAAAATCTTAACATCTTCCTTCTACATTGTTATTTAGCATTTGAAGCAATGGTTGTTTCATTTTGTTTATGTTTTCATTTTATTTTATGTTTCAATTGCGAGCTCTTTTCAAAAAACTTAAGTATACTGAAATATAATTAAAATGCTTTTGGTTAAAGCTGTAATATTTATTTCTAAATTTTAAAAATGTTCTTCTTTAAAGCTTTTTAACTAGGACAAATATTTAAATAAAAAAGAAATATAATAATGTGGGACAATCTACCACTACGCAAACCGAAGAGTCTATAGTCATTACTTAGATATTAATTATGGTTTATGTAATGGTCTATATTTTACTTACTAAGTAAGGATTGCGACCTTACATAGCGTCTTATGCAGTTTCAATTGCTTATATAAAACATCGAAACTAATTTGGTGAACGTAAAGGAAACAATTCCAAGCCGTGATAGCTCAGTGTTCCAACGCTTGCTTTAAATTTAGTATACTCGAGCAGCCAGAATTGAAATCCCTGTATCCGAACCTGTATGAAATTGTTAATTACAACTTTAAATACTTGCTCGTGCTTAGGCACGTTGATAAGTCAGCGCTTAAAATTTTGTGATTTTGTTTTCAAAGGAAAACAAAATCGTGAGGCGATCTACATAATTTGGAAGTAGTAGCAAAAAAACAAAGACTATCACAAAAAAGTATGGGAAGGTTGCGTAGTGGACTACGCTAAAAACATCTGTACCTACAGAAGAGGCTTCCCAGCAGTGGGACGCACACAGGCTGTTACTTTAGTTGAAATTTATCGATGACTAATTTTTGAACACCCTATGCAGGTACGCAAAACCATTCTTGGGGCGAAAGCTCCAGGATGTGCCTGTTCCTGCCGAGCCACACTGCCGCGCTGGACGCTGCACGCGACCCCACATTGCAGCAAGCCGTGCTCGACGCCTGCGACGACTATATCGCAGTCTACCTCACCTAATCTTCAACTGAGTGTCGGCAAAAGTACCTGAAGCACCGCAATCGCGACCAGTCTCTTTAAACGCAACTTAATTCTAGCAAACGCAACTTAATTCTAACAAACGCAACTTAATTCTAACAAACGCAACTTAATTCTAACAAACGCAACTTAATTCTAACAAACGCAACTTAATTCTAACAAACGCAACTATAGTTCCATAAACCTAGCAGAAATTCTAAATCCACATCTGAAGCCCGGATAAACTTAGTAATCTACAGAATTCTCGCTGTAAAGTATCTGCTTGAAGAGTATGACAACTGTTTTAATCAAATTATTCGAAATAACAGAGCAAAATAATCAAGGCAGGATGTTACATAAGTCTCAGTGCATAATTTTAAAGTTGGTACTAATTTAACATAATACATTTTCATGATATCGCAAGCTTATTTGGGGATATATTGCATGATATCATTTAGGTATTAATAGTATATCTGATAAAAAAATGAAAATAATTTACTTGCATGATACAATTCTATTGTGACAAGATTTGTGATTTTTTCGATTCATATTTTTTTCTGGTATTTTGTCATCCTATAAGTTAATACCATTTTTAATGAGCAGAACGGTAATATAGTTGAAATTATTTCATTTTAACAGTAAAGGATTTTAGACAAAGCAACATAACAGAGGTTTACAATGTCTAAACTGATAAATATTTATTAAAAGTAATTGATACATGTACGAGTAGATTTATATAAAGATGTATAGTAACTGATAATTTTATAGTCTTTATCATTCAACGATCTTGACTAGCGATGACAATCAATATCGATTATCGTCTGTCAACATAATCACAGGATTTTAGCTTAACTTGGATAACACAGATAAGATACGCATATTTATTAACGAAATACAGACAAATATGTTTACAACTATTCGTACATGTAGACTCCTACTATTACGTATTAGTTGCCAAATATTTGACTTTTTTTTATTTTGTTTGTACTTTTAGCTACTCGTTTTTGATTATGGCTAAACATTGATTTTTTTTTGTTCAAAATCATTTTAAATGTCTCCCAAATATAAAATTGTTATCGTATTGAATATATATTTTCTTAATAAATTGTTAATCAAAAAATATTCTTGTTACTTATCGATTTCTACTCACCATTCTAAGAAATAAGTATTATTAAAACTTTAACTTCCTAAAAACAAATAGGTGTATTTTATTTATATATTTATTACTAGCGACCAGCCTCTGCTTCGCAAGGGTGCAATGTATTATACATATAAACCTTCCTATTGAATCACTATCTAGTAAAAAACCGCATCAAGATCCGTTGCGTTATTAAAGATATAAGCGTACATAGGGACAGACAGATAGCAGGACGACTTTGTTTTATACTATGCAGTGTTTAACAATAACTTAATACTTTCACCAACATCTAATATATAAAATCTTGAGTTACAGTTTTAGTGCTTCAACTCCTCCGAAACGGCTTGACCGATTTCGATGAAATTTTATACATATATTCAGTAGGTATGAGAATAGGTTTATAACTAATTTTATACTGCTAAGTGTTCACTCCATGCCGTGTCTGTACTTTTACGCCTTAAACAAAAATGTATAGGGTGTTAGATTGAATCAAATTTTGTTTTTGCCTATTGAGCTTAATTTCTGGGCGCCTCTGTTTAGCCATATTTTGTACTAGCTATTATCCGCGGCTTCACCCGCTTGGCCAAAAGAAGTTAACAATGAGTTTTTTTGATGAATATTAAAATTTTAAAGTGTGAACTTGAGCGTCGTTTATTTCTTTTAAATATATTTTTTAGGCTTCTATTTAGTGTTATCAACAATGTCTAAAGCTTTAGATATTTTATAATACAATCGATAGTGAAATTAGGGCCATACTTTTTAATAAAGTTTCTATATTTTTTGTAAATATACTTTAAAATTTTTCATAAAAATAAAGTATGTGAAAATACTCTATTTTCAATATTTACTGTGACTCATACAATAAAAAATACAATGTATGTATGAGTATGAATAATTACTGATTTTTTATCAATAATTCTAAGTTAATTCAGAAAGCTTTCAAATTAGAAGCTTTTGTTGTTAGTTATATCATATGTTTTAACACAAATATTTTTTCCCTAGAAAATTTTATTACTTTTTTCTTATCGTTTGATATATAAACATTTATAGAATTTGTCTTAAATGGAGAAATTTTCTCTGAATATTAAAGATTGTCTACGAAATTATTATTCATCAGATATTTTTAAAATCATCTCTTAAAGATGCTTTACATTTATAATATACCAGCTGCCCGGTTTTTTTTATAGTATTAAAATCTTCCGAAAATACTTCAAATGAAAACGTCCTTACAACAGAGGATAATGTTATCCTAAAGTAAGGGCAAGGGTGTTTTTTATCTAAAAAAGAAAAATTAGTCCAGCAAATACAAAAAAATAAACTGGTCCAGTCATTCTTGAGCTTGCGCTTACCAACATTCATTTTTATTTATTAAGAAGATAAATGCGAAGAAGCATCTGTATCCATATTTCCATATACTTTGATTATAAGACTTAATTTAAAGATGTTATTGCCAGTGTCATTTCTGCACCTCCATTCACCTCATCATTATTTCACCTTTAAGAAAAATACTACTATTTTTAGTTAATGTTGAACGAACACTACAATTTGTGTAGGGGCCGTTTCTTTGCTGTGCTGCCTAAAACTTTTTAAAAACTGATATTTATTCGGGAAATTTCATTAATTTTCTTCACACAACGTCAAAAGATATGCTAGCGAATGCAAAGCATTTAGTGTATACGGTCACATTTAAAACAAACAGAACGGAGGCACTAATATTTATTACTTATTTACAATGTAGTCATAACAAAAAATGCAATTTAACAAGGCTTGGTACAACAATAGTTCTATAGCTGATTCGTATCTAATCGAATTTGCGTATATTCGGCACGTTTCATATTCTAGCACATTTTTATACACAGTACAAATTATTTTTAACATCACTGGCTATTTCGTAAAAAATATTCATCATATAATATAACAATCTCTTCACTAGTTTCGCTTTAAAAAGACACAATGTTATTTATTTCAAAATCTAACATCGTGGACAAATCTAGTATTTTTTACTACATCTATACAAATGAAAAATACATTACATCACAGACATATATAAAAAGTATTCACATTTTCAACATTTTATCTACAAATGGTGTTTTATTGTTACACAGTAATTAGGTTTTGTTTATATCTGTATTCAATCTCCTTGTTTCTTATCGAGACAGACTAATTAAAGAAACTTAGTCTGAACAAACATTTTGTTTTGCACAAAATAAATTTATGTACGGTTTTTTATCGTACGAAGGTCTGATGCATATGACTGTGACGCCACGGCAAGACATTGCATTTGTATGGCAATACCTAAATTGCATTTGTCATGTAAATGGGTCATAATTTAACAGGTTATTTTTTCGCAATAGCACGTTCCAATGTTATAAGGAAGTAAAATTTACTTAGTCGACAATTACATATTCATTTGATAGCACGAGGCAGGCAGTTTATTTTGCGAAGTAATTGTGGATGTACATTTTAAATACTAGCTGCTGCCCGCGACTACGTCTGCGTAGAAAAGGCTGAAGGCGTAACATTCAGACAGAAAGACAGATATACATAAAATATGTATATAAATTATAGCCTATGTCTTATTCTGATGCATAAGCTATATTTTTGTAAAGTTTCATTAAAATCCATTTAGTAGTAATTGCGTGAAAGAGTAACAAACATCCATCCATACATACAAACTTTCGCGTTTATAATATTAGTAAGGATTTAGATCCATTTTGGCATGATGAACTCGAGCTGTTTGCCCAACAATCACCTAGTCATTTAAGTGTTACACAAAATATTTATTCTATCTCTTTCTAAGAAAAGGGATATTATGATGGCTTTAATGCTATATCTCTTTCTTCACCTTTTGAATCCAAGCGTTCGTAGTTTTTAAGGATAGTGTTATCAAGCAGGCGTATGAAGCTGTTAAATTCTTGATAGCGATATCTTCAGTAGCCATAATACTGTGACGTCTAAGCCCGTGATTTTTCTAAACGTTAATTTCTATACTTCGTAAAAATAAATGTCAGGTGATCAGATTAATTATTTTTTAGTAATATTGTAAAACGCGTTCACAATAAAAATCCTAATATTATAACGAGCTGGATATAATTATGATATTAACGATGATCTTAAATATAATATTTTTTTCTAGTGGAAGAAGGTTTCAAACGATCAGGCAATGGTCGACAAAACGCGTTAGGATGTCTACTTCAACCTGACCGCATTATAAACCGGCCGGTTAGTTAACTCAAATACTATACTAGACGCAAAGTACAAACTCCAGTTTACGCCGATCTTCTATGAGTGGCACTTCCCCAGACGAAGATAGAATATCCGACGAAGACTCATTCTTGCAACAGCAGATGGCAATACCACAGTAAGAATAATATGGTATACTCGTATATATATGATTCTGATATATATTAGAAACATAAGTTCTGTTACAAAATATCAATACCTAATAAACGGGTAACATTTTAAACAGTTATAAAATTCAAGCACAACTATATATATATTACTGTATATTATAGCATTTTAAAGTGATACTAAGATACAGGAATGCACACAACAAATTTTAAGCATCAGATTATATATAACCAATCACATTTAAGAATGTCGCTTACAATTATCACTTAAGAAAAACTCAAACAAGAAATATTAACGGATGGATGGTGAGAACTTAATCATATAATGCGTGTTTCACAAACTAGATTATTGCTTTTCTTGATAGCTTTTAGTCGCACCTTATTCTGTTTCCAGTTCTGAGTCTGCGCGTGAAGCACTTTCATGAGTCACTACCGAGCTTACTGAAATCTGTGCGATGCTAATTCGAACTTTGAAATTTATCGCAGAGCGTTGAGATTTGCTAACGTATAAAAAATTGTACATCATTATTATATTGTCACTTATATATTAAATAAATTCATCTAAAATGTCCGACTGCTATTCACCGGGGCCGATGACTAACGCGCTCACTGCGAAGAATAGGAACACGATGCCACCGATTATTGTTACTAGAAAAAGAGAGAAAATTTACTTCAATACAAAAAAATAAAAACGGTCCTTCGTGCCGGATGTCAACGTTATTTTAAAGATTTAAGTTGTCAGATCTGAAAGATGTTTGCTTGAGTGTGTAGATTACTTTTGATATATCTGCCCGCCATATACTTTGTTATCTGTGGCTTATTTCACTTGGATGAAATACCTTTTTGCCGGAGCATAACGCAATTTACGAGTAAAGGCCATTTGGGTAGATGAATGCGGCAGAAGCTTACCAGTCCGTACTGAGATTTTCTGGGCGACCATTCTGCCACCGATCACAGCTAGGCCCGTGCATAGAGCGTGGCCCAATGATCCCCCCACTACCACTCCAACGGCATCTTCCCTGGTAGCTAGCACCACAGTCGCCAACTGCGACCTGTCGCCCCACTCCGCTAGGAAAGTCAGCGACGCCGCTTGCAAAAGCACCTTTATGACCGCGTTCCGTTTCCTCCTCCTATTCTCTGCTTGGCCCTGCTCTAACATATCTAAGGTCTCTTCTTTCTCGTCCTGCAATCAGTGAAATTACAAATTATTTGTCCAATTTAGAAAAAAGTTTTACAAAAATGGTTTATTTTGTATACATTTTCCATTGCACTAAAGCTTAAAAGGCTACGAAATTTTCGATTTTTAGTATATTCCCTTTTTAAGTAGACGAGTAAGTAGTTCTGTTTATCTAAAGGGATTCTATTATCGAAATTCGGATATGGGGACAATAAAATGGCAGTATAAGTTACGATTTATAATCTACTTGTGAAATAATTACAAAATATGATAATGCAGTGGGACCATACATCTACATGCTAAGCGCAGTAAATGGATCTAAAATTACTGGCGATATATCTGGAATATGATATGATAAGACGGATTAAGTGTTTATAAAAAGGCTCAAGATAATATAATATAATTATGACGGAGACGAGACGGTACTATTGAAATATTATTATAGCATTACGATCGATAGTCTAAAAAAGCTCAGTCAGTTATAAAAATGTAAGTAAAAGAAACATTTTCATATTATTCTTTAATAACGAAAAGGTACTTTAAATAACAGGTACCACATAAAAGCAATTGACGTGTGGTACAACTTTTGTAGATAACATCTGCACAATTATTTTTATTTAACAGACGGGGCTTTGATATAGAAAGCAAAAATCTATTCAAATGCTGAATTCCTTTACACATCAATCACATTATATCGTATGAAGGCCTAAAAAGCGAAACTTTGAATATAAAGGTGATGTGGTCGGTGCAAAAACGGAACGTAAAAAAAAAGCTAAGCTAAACGAAAAGGAACTAAGGTGTCATTCGTACTGCCAGGCATAATGACGTAAGATCACCCTCAGCGGTTCGGACTGTGTAGAGGGGCCCGCTTGGGGCTCCTCTGGCATCTCGGGCACCTCCGTTACAGGGGATCTCGAGGGCCCAGGGCTTTCGGAATGTGGCGACCTCACTGACGCCGCGTCGGGCGAACTTGACCGTTCTTTCGTGGATTCCTGTACATTTTTCAATCTATATCATTCCAATGACGCGTTCCAAATTCGAACGCCGCGTCAGTCGCGTCTATAGTCAATTCGCGATGACGTTGTGATATTTTAATTGCGTCCATAGACAAACGTGCAGTGGTGAGACTTGAATAAAATGCACAGGCGAAGGATTAAAGACAAATTAAAAAAAGAAAAGGAATTCAACATTTGTACAACTAAGACGGTTCCTTTGTTTTACATTAAAAATACCTATGAAAACGATCCCATGAACATATTTTAAATAACGTGATGTAAAGAAACGCATGCCGTTTTGAGCCACCTGATCTTTGGAGTTGTTTTTTTTTTTTTTAATTTTGGTATAACTTAGCAACGTCGTGTCGTTATATGACAATTACTTACATATCTACGTTTATGATATAAGATGTATGTAACGTGAACAAATTAGAAAATTACTAAATATCGAATTAAATTTTACTGGCTAAATAATTTTAAATCAGAATCATAAACCGATTGTAACTTAAGAGATAAACAACGCATCTGACGAATCAATCAACGAAATCCATTAGAAAAAGATAGGTGTTAAACACGTCTACGACACTCGCAAACGAAGAAAGTAATACAATTCTTATTACTTATGTCGCGGAAATGACGACCTAAAGAGGGTGCAACGTCAAATTTATGATAGTATAGACCTGGCGGAGAATCTAAGGATATGTGAGCTACAGAAATTATGGTAAGGTTAAGAAATTAAGGTTTACATTGCTGTTAAACATTGAACCAATTCTTTAATTTAATGCAATAGCCTAAGTTTATAGACGAGTGCTACAACTTGCTAGTTAGTCACTAATGTATCTTATGACTACGAATCACTTATCCGAAATCATTATATTCGCGTTTATGTTTGCTTTATCAGTGACAAAAAGTAATATACCATTGGATGTCATATATTTTGCCTTTGACAAGGCTTAAGATAATTTTTTTATGGCTTTTATTCCATTTAAGAGTGCGAAAGAGCTATCTTTTATGCAGCAATTGGCACGTACAAAAGATTAACAATACAAAGGATGACGCAACGAAGAAATTACGGTTTAAAATAAATACACTGCTGGTCTCCCTTAGAATTAAAAAAAAGAATGGTATACAACTGTAACATATTCTTATTTTAATTGCACAATATCGAGAAATTAGAACATACGACACATTTTGTACAAGTTCTTATCTATTTTAACTACCTTATATTTCATCATCACTATTTTTATAATTAGTCCACAGGCTTCGAAAGATCGGAAAGTTTTTGTTGTACTTACTATAGCTTTGATATTTTCTCTATAGGTGATTTGTTTTGTAAATCTTTTGAGAAATGAAATGTAATTTGTAAACAATTGTAGCTTAAACCTAAAATAACATTTCATAGGACAGACGGGCGATAATGTTATGAAATTTTAATAATGCTAATTTTGACATTGTCAATAAAATTAATCATTTTTATAGAAGCGAAGTAGATCGGCGTACATTAGTGGATGTTGTTGCTGGGGTAAGGGAGTGCATAAGTGCTCAGTCCACCACATGACCGCATTGTGGATTGGTGGATTTGATGTAACTTAGATATACTTTTTTTCCTTCTAACAATTTCTTTAGGATCGGGATTTGAACTCCGGTTGCTTGCGTTGGATAAAGGCCTAAACACAAAGCTGCCACGGCTAGATAATAACACAATATACAACTTATATTAATATATTATGTATGTACATGAACGTACAATTTAATCGAACTCTTGAACCTATCACCTTGTTTTGAATTGGAGAGATTGACTAAAGCCAAGAAAGGATAAAGAAATAAAGTGAATCATATAAATAACACTTAATTCAGAGAGACCTTCAATGACGTCACTTATTGATGGACCAAAATGGCTATCATCGATCGTTCAATTCGCTAAAAAAGTAGGCATTGATAATACTATCGTAAGATAAATAACACGCTTGGCTGAGCTGATAAGGGAACAATCACTTGTTGCACCTATAGGCAGAACCAATTCAGCCTATGTTTCCTAGGTTTAGGCTCGCCAAGGGGAAATTTCTGGGGATTTATTTTCCCAACCTTTCGGATAAGTTATCGCTGCTTTGGTAAAGATAGCTTTCAAGGTCAAACTTGAAGAAACATTTTATCGAAAACCTATTATAATACAGCTGCGTATCTATTTTGTTCGAAACGAACGTTATCGTGGCAGAAATTATTATTATTATACTTCGATGAATCCGCTGTTATATAAAGTGATAAAATACGTTCAACTAACAGAAGATTGTAGAGTAGAACATCGGTAGTAATATGAGGGTTTCGTCACAAGGACCATCAAGAACAAATAAGCTTAAGCCAAAATTGACACTTGACGTTACCGTTAAAGCTACAACCAGCTATTTTTTAAAATCATAGACGGCTTTAAAGTGGATCGGAAATATCTACTTCTTTAATTGCCGGAAATTATAGCGGCTCCAAACTAGATGTAATGTAAGGGCCATCCAGATTGGTGATAATGTATGTATTGGTGATAAGTATATTAAAAGTACGCATCGTTGCCTTTCTATAAAGTTCCAACGCGTGTTATGTACTGGCTCACCTGGTCCTCCCGCCGCTTCAGCTCGCTCTGGACCTCCTCCAGCTCCTCTTGGCCCTCGTTGGGGTCCATCTTCCAGCCGTCCCTCAGCATCTTCAGACCGAAGATCGCGAACAGCGCGGCGCTGATGTAGTGCGTGTACACCCTGGGTATGACGGTCGCCACCCAGCCGAAGGCGGCGGACAGTATCGTCATGAAGACCAGCGCCGATATGGCACCCGTGAACACGATCACCCTGGGATGCTTCATCGCCATTATGGCCGCGATGAAGAACGTTTTGTCACCGAGCTCGGAGACTATCACCACGGAGAGGGCCGCCAGGAAACCCTGCCAGAAGCTGCCCTGGACTGCCGCCCGCTGGGGAGAAAAAAATTCTTAGTCAGAATTGATGAACAGCGAAAACGAAATAGACATTTCTAATAGAATCAGTTTGTTGGTTTCCCACCGCTGAATTTCTCTTTGATATCGCTTTGACATAGACAGTGGAAAGATCGAAATTTCATGTATGAAAGTATTATCTGCATTGAGTAATTTCCTCTCAGTCGAAGTTTACTGTCTTTGTACGGAAGATAGAAAGACATGTATAACAAATGTAAAGGTAAGTGATCATGCGTGTTTATGTTATTATTTGAAGGCATCGACTCGAAGCGATTATTAGAAAATTACCAATAAACCGTACATTATCGCATTATAAAAGAAGTGTTACAGTAGGTAACAGTTCATTGCAGTTTCCAATTGCAGTTTTCAAACTATTCAGCAGCTTTTGCTGATGCAGGCAGGAGAGGCACTACAACCTGACAGAAGACCAACGCGAAGTGGGAGTATCATTCTTTTGAGTTTCATCTGGTGTGTGAGGTATCTGCAACCCCGCATGTTATTTAACATCATGATAACCGCCCGCTCGCTTGCCACCTTCTCGCATAACAACATCTTTATATTAACGTCTTATTAAGACGGAATTTTACTGGGATGATATCGGGTGGAAGGGTGCAGATATGGCTGACGTAACTCTGATTTCACGACTCACAACGCGCAGCGTGCCAGAGTGCTTTACACTCGATATGTGGGCGTACAAACTAGGATAATCCATATAATCCATATTTTAACCAATTTTTAAATAACTAGAGACATTAAATTGTAAGATCTTATTTTACAATTGATCACTTTTGATTAAATAACAAAAAATTGTGTACCACCATCCGTTGGTCTGTTCCTCGGTGGGTCTAAGTAACGTTTTAGAAAAATATAAGCAATGAATTAAGATAGGTTTTTTTTTGAATAAGTTTACATTTATTCTAAGGAAGTCCCGATTGATTTTTGTTATTGAACTCACAACCGTTTAAAAGTTATTAAAGTGTCGATCGACTTCTCTGATATTTCTCTTGTAAATTTTTAAAAATGTATTATATTTTAACTATCACTCCGTTTATTATCTTGTATGCCACATGTAATATAATACGCGTGTAAGACGTGCACTTTTGGATTTTCCAAATTTATTTGTTCCTATTGTTTTTTGTACAAAAGTTGTAATTTTTTTTTTGATGAAATATAAATTACAGATGCATTAAGTACATTCCTAAGAACATTATTTGTAAAAAGTTTTTGACCAAGTTTTCGTTAAAAATAAATTTCGTTTATTTGCCTATTTCGTCGGTGTACACATAAGCTTTAATATGTTTGAATCACAAATCTAAAATAGTATGATGTTTGTGTTTTTGAAAGTTTTTCTTAACGACGATTTACTTTTTACGATTATCAAAAGTTGTAGCGACCTTATAAAGCTGATTGAGAATAATAGATATTCTTTCTATCTTCGTCGCTTGTCGACCTTGCGTCTGCATCAGAAAGCCTTGCACTTAATTCCAATGTAATTGAATTGTTAAAATTTATTAAACATTCGATGCGTTTAAAAAAATAATTGTAGATAATTCATTCTTATTTTTTATATATGATTGATTTTCTTATAACGTCTCAGAAATATAGTTTTAACTTAAATATTACTTATAAATATATTACGTAATATGTCTTCAGTACAAAAATAAATAGTTCATACATCTGTGATATAATTTTTTTGACACATTTTTACACAACATTCTCTAGACCCAAAGCTTGTGTAGTACAAGATAACTGATAAACATACTTAAACATACTTGTTAAAAATATATACATATTATACATATATAGAAAAACACTATGTTCATCAGTACAATATTTTTCCAGTAGTGGGGATCGAACCCACACCCTGTGGCGTAAGAGGCAGGTACACTACTCACAATTCAGGTCGTCATTTAAGATTTGAAAACATTGTGCATAATTTACAGCTTCTGCCATTTGCTTCAAATAAATAGCAAATAATAGCATCACGCGAAATCATAATAAATTCACAAATATTGAATATCTCATTTGTAAAACTAGGTGAGCATAATCTATTCAGCTGTTATTATTATAATGATAATAATCTTCTTGCACGCTCGTTTTGTAATGACCTGGTTTGTAAATAAATTCTCGTAATTCGCCGTCTTTGGTCTTAGTTTACAGTTCGGGTATAGCTCCGTCATATATATACGGATTTTTCTTCTTTACTTCCTTCTAAATCTCTGTGTTTGGCGTCTGATGCTAAATGGACGCTTGGCCAACGTTTCACAGATTACATTCAATGCACGGTAATGTGTCAATATAAACTTTAACGACTTCACTTAAACCATGTTCCTGTAATAAATTCAAAACCCGCATGTCTCCTACTTCCATCAATATTTCGATGATAAGCAGATCTGAGAACAGGTGAAGACCATGCATTAACAAAGGTCACTTTGCTAATTCATGGATACATTATTCTGGCGTAGTTGATGATTCACGGAATACAATAGTAACAATAGTACCACAAATGGTCAATTGTAATGAAATGGTTGAGAATCCTGTATTAAAGGAAGCAGCTGCCCATCTCACAACAACTGACAACGCTGACTCCCCAATTACACCAACGTACACTAACGACGGCTATCCAGACTCGATATGACGTTTCCGTGGCAGTGTTGGAAGACATTAAAAATACTGTAACTAGCGGTAGTTACCGAAGCCTGCTTTATAACCAAAAAAGTTTTACGAAATTTGCATTTAATTTTGTACACATCACACCGCGAAGCGATTGAGGTTGTGCTCTATTCTCGGTACCTCAGTCAAGGATTTTATTTGCTCTTAAACTGCCTCTACCACAACCAATTATTGGCAGTTATACGATAGTATGAATAGATGTATTTCAAGTTTGACTAGTCTATCATATATTCCGTAAAAACAAATTTTACGTGAATATCCGAATTGTTTTAAGAGGTGGTTACGACAACTCCCGATAAAATTCACCTATCGAGATCTTAAGAATTACAGTAACTTAACTATTTAAAGTCAATAACCTTATATACTATAGTTCCCGTAGTTTATTATTAAAATAGCTTATTCCCGTAGTTTATTATTAAAAAAATATTTTACACTTTTGTTTAATTTTCTAAATAATACAAAGAAATAAGTAGTACGACTTTTTTATTAAAAATGAAATGAGTGGTATGAGACGTGAACATTTAGATTTTCCATTTATATTTAATTCGCGACGTTTCGGATAATTTGCAGCTATACTCATAGACTGTTGTAAAGTGTGGTATTTCATTAAATTAGGCCGGGCGTCAGTAAATTAAAGATGCGTAATTAATTTAATGGATTGGGTTGCTAAGGAGAATAGCGTACGAAGATTCCCATATAAGAACAGCCAAACATTTCGTAATTTATAGTTGCATTGATTTTTATTCTATTAAATGATGACTGGCAACCATTCAGCTTTAATATAGTTGATAAAATAGTTTCGAGTGCAATTTAACAATGGTAATATAAAAAAAAATATACACTTCACTTAAATCTTTCAGGATTAGTTATTTATTTACTTGAGCAAAATTCAGAATGCTCTATAGCGGCAGTAATCCTTCTAGGTCGTCCAGAATTCGTGTTACTACTTTTAAATTGGACCATGTAAACAATATTATCACGGGTAAACATGAGATATAATGCATCCGCATTAATTTTCGCTTTTTAAGCTTGGCAAATAGTATTTTTGTATATCTTTCTATCTGCGGTTTTTTATTGACTCGAGATAAACGAAGTGAGGACACAGGTGGTGGTATTTTCTTTATACTCATAACTAGCTGCTGCCCGCGACTACGTCTACGTAGAGGGGTGAAAATTTATGCTTGTATGTATTTTTGTATGCTGTATCATAAAAAAATAAAAACAAAAAATTTCGCCCAAAAATAAAAAAAATATGTTAAGGGTGAACAACCCTTATCACTCAGGGGTATGAAATATAGATAGTGGCCGATTCTCAGACCTACTGAATATGCATATAAAATTTGGTAAAAATCAGTAAACCCGTTTCGGAGGAGTAAGGTAACTAACATTGTGACACGAGAATTTTTGATATAAGATATATATCACATGTTAATATATAAATATTATACATATTCTTTTACAGGTTATGTAGGGTTGCCCCAACGGGTTATTGCATTATTGCATTTAACTATGTTAATTAATTTTTCGCAATAACAGTGAATTTTTAAAATGCTATACAAAGGACATTGTCCATTTTTGGCTTCGCGTGAACAGAATTCTTAGATAAAAACAATTATATCAAAAAATCTCCCTGAATAAAACATGAATATTTGTATTTTTCGGTTGTATCGATTCAAACTGATAAAAACATCCAATAATGAGTATATATATATATATTGATTTATATACACAAATTCTTTTCGACATTTTAAAATATTACCTTGCCAGTATAAAAATCTCAATCACATCTATGAATATTCTTTTTAATCAATCAAAATAATATTATTATTATTCTCATTTATTAACTTAGATTTTATTTGTAGTAAAAATAATTTATCGAAAGTGCATAAGTCACGAAATCATGTGGCACTGCATTTTTATACATAAATATTATAAGGAATTAATAGAGTTAATATTGTATTATTTTGATCAACTTCAATTACCAATGTATTTGAATTGAATAATATTTGCCAATGTATTTGATAACAAAATCCCAGAATCATATAAAGAAAATTGTTCATTGGTTAAGATTTTTATGGCGACATTAGGCAATACTTTGGTTGGAGTTGTGACTGTTATTTTGACAAATGTCATTTGCCTTATTCGTAGGTATTGTATAGGTAAACGTAGTGATTACATTCCCTTTGGCATTGTGAATGTATGTTGTCGTGTATCAGCAGAAAAATATATTATATTTATATCTTATATGAAAATAATATAATATATGCAACTGCATGGTGGGTCGACGGACAGTGGGTTGCTGTTGC